GTACACTTACTTTCTGCGATTAAACATCGCTTCTCGATAAATTCGTAATGAAAATAGGATGAAAAGTCGATAGAAGCTCAGACAAAATTGGTTGTGCCGAGCAGGATTGACAAGAATGTTGGAGATAACTCGTATCTTCTGTATTTCGAATTTTAACCTCTGCTATAAATTTAGACCGATTTCGCAAATCGAGAAACATTAATGCTATACAAGTCAGAAATTGCGAGGGAATAATTATTCTCGGTTTTTTTTTTGCAGCGATGAGGAAAAAATATAGGACATACAGGTCCAGAGAATCACACCACACCACGGTAATGCTACGAGTTTCACATCAAAAATATCAGCAGTCGAATCTCAGCAATAATTAAAATTTTTACGTGGACTGAATCAACGTCTCTAAGTTTTGAAAAGCTATTGCTTCCTGAATAAAATTATCTCGTACTCTGATAAATCCTCTTTTCAGCACTTGTGGAAGGCCGAGGTAAAGCGCGTGGCGAAATCGGACTTGCTAGTATCGATGCATTGTGCAGCGAGCTCAGTTTGTGCCAATTCATCGATTCAGCATCGTACGCTCGGCTTCGGATTCAGTTTCAGATCCAGGAACCTGTTGAGGTGGTAGTTCTGATAGTTTATTTTTAACTCAAAAATGATCCTTTTCTAGGTGACTTTAGTTATTTCGTTAATTAAAAAGTTGCATCCCGAGGTAACCTCATCCTCTCCAGCGTCCAGTTCAAGTTTTAACTAACAAAGCGGTTAAAATTGCAGGATTTCTGCCTTAAAAATGTGACCTTTGAAATATAGTAAGACATAAAGTCCTTTTCATTTGTCTTACGTGAAACACGTAATTTTTTCGATGACACCTAAAAGAGTACTTATCAAAGCGATTCATATAACAGTTTTCTTGTCGATGCTTGAAAAAAGCGATTTGTCTTGTTTCCTTACGCGAGAACTTCCTCTCCGGGTATTTCAATTCGGCACCTGAACAAAGTCTAGTTCCAAAATTTTGCCGGTAGGTTCCCCGGCCAAGTGTTACCCCAGGACCGCGGTACCAACCTTCACGCGAGCCTGGGTCTCGCGTACATTTTAAAACACGAAATTGCTCTTCAGCTTTAGAAATAATATCTATTGAAAAGCACTCCCGTTTTAACTTGGATGGTACCTTTTGTTTTCGCAGGTTATTGTCCCGGAAACTTTCGGCGAAAAAGTTAGCAGCATGAATGCAATACTGGAACTGATCCGCAACACATACCCGGAAGTGGAAATCACAATGGTCAATCGGCGCTATTTCAAGTATTTCATTTTTTGTTTTAGTTTAACAGCTTTTCCAAACATTACTGGCATTTTTATACTTTTTTACATATTTGTGCAAATGCAAAAAACCCATATTCGCAAAAGGTCGAATGTGGGTATGTTTGTGCGTATATATGTGAATTTACGTGTCTGCATTTTTGAAATCTATTTCCAACTCAGCAAACATAGAAATTGGGGAAAGGAAGTTTTTGGAGCGTATTCGTACTCCATGTGAAACGCAGCGCTTTTAAAACCGTCGTTTACTTATATTTGGTTCTCATGTATCAATGCCTAAAAGAGTCTGTAAAAAAAATTTTTTTGACAGGAAAACGGTTTCGGAGACTAAACACTTTGGGAAGCTGAATGTTCATAGGATTGTTCCATGTCCTTGTATGAGCTAAAGATTTCGAATTCAAACACAAAGCACGCCCACATATTGCGAATATTTTACTTCGGGGGACACTGCTGGCATCCAATTTACTCGGTGACCAAACTGAACAGGGAGCAGTATTTCTCTGAGAATGTCTGCTGTTCATGTGGGGCCAACAAGCACAAACTGTACTTTTGCTTAAGTATGCACCTGGCTCACCGGCACGTATCAAATGTCCAAACCCGGCTGTTTTCTTTTACAATGCTCGTGATGTAGAAAAGAGCTTAACAAAATCTTTCAATCATTTACAGTGAACTGAAAGGTGCCGAACTTGTGCAGCAACTAGCATCAGCTGAATCCTCAAATTTAACTCCAGAAATATGCAAAAAGTAAATATTTTAAATTTTAAATTTCTTCCTGATAAGGCAGAAGTTTTTCGCGTAGCTGAAAGATAGACGAAAGAGGATTATTCCCAATATTTTTTCATAATTTTGTTAATCGTCATATAAAATCCTAATTTTTGTTTACAGCGATGATAATTAAAAATTTCCTTTTTTTGTGATGAATGGTATTTTGATGTTCTGTGAACCACAGCGACAAATGAAAACCTCTCACACTGTTAATTACTATCAGTGGCCCATTATACTAACAAGTTATGATTATAAAGGAGTTATGATTATGCCAATTAAAAGTTTACGGTCAAAAATTTTTCCAGAAATTTTTCTTAACTAACTGAATTCATGTACTGACTCACAGTCTAGTACTACAGCTTTGAGTAAATATGACACGCGCACTTGTATTCGGGTGATAGGGCGGATTAAACAAACCAAAGAATCGCTGGAAACTCTTGATGTTGAGATCCAGCCGACTATCGGACGCAGCTGTGCTTGGTCCTTTTTTTTGTGAGCTGTAACTTACCTTCAGTGATGGCTAGACACTTCCGTAGCATTTCATCGGGGACAGCCGGGGAATTGATTCTGACGATTATGAAACATCGAAAAACCTTTGTAAAAGGAAGTCGTCAATTTAATCGCGAGCTTTTTCTCCTCTTAAAGGCAAAAAGATGCCTCGCTTCTTACCTATAAAAAAATATTTCACCGTTTGGAAGACATGAAGAATCTCTTGCCTTGGCACCCTCTTACTGCAGCTGGCTTCTATTTTGAGGGAGCAAAGCACTTTGTAAACCGACTGAAGTGAAACTAAACTAATTCTTTCGCAGATATTACTGTATGGCTGCCGCTGGGGCATTGATTAAGCACGTGGAATCAATTCAAAATTTATTGTTCGCGCAAAACTCTTTGAAAGTCACTTATCAAGTTCTCGAAAAATCTTGTTTTATGGGTACGTTATTTTTGCGCTGCTCAGAATTCTGTGCCAGATCCCTTATACAGTTTGTGTAGATAGATAGATGATCAGGCAGTGAGTGCCAACTGGAGATAAGCAGTTCAGGACCAAAGGGCTTGATTGGCAGCCGCTTTCCCAGCAACATTATTAATTTTGATTTACCGCACCCAGGGGATTTTGGTAGTTTTGGTAAGAATTGTTAGGCTTTCAAAATTCATGCAAATTTGGAGGTTTCGAACTAGCTTGGTATTTCTAACAGTTGTCACTTCATCGTTTTAAATTTTCTCGGTAGTGTGGCCGAAAAAGTATTCTTCTTTTTCCGCTTTTGTTGTGTCCATACAGCTTGGTGCTAAAGGACAAATGAATTCTTCCATCCAATTGGTAATCTTCCAATATTCTTTTAACTTTGTGTGGGTACCACATAAGAGCCAGTTTTTATTCGTTTTTGCGATTTTTTCCGCTTCTTCCTTGT